CAGGCCCCGTTATGTGAGCTTGTTACAGGTTTCAGTTGAACTGTTGATGGATTTGTGGGTGACTTTGTATTTGGACTCTGCCACTTCACTTCACAACCACGGTGCTGACCTATAACCTCACACTGAAGCATTGCCTCATTGTTCAGCTTGAGAACAGCAGAGGGATGAACGGAGACGGAAACTGAGATGGACAACACGAGAGGAAAACAATGAGAGCATATTACACTAGTATTAAAGTATTAAAGGAAATGTGGTAACTCTTTCACACATTGGAACATTTTTGGTGATATGAAAATATCATAAATAACCATTTAACTGTAGATGGATTGTAATAAGTAGTGACCCAGCTAGTGACAGAAAAGATCCGGCCTGGCCTATTTATTATGTCACAAGCTGATGTTTGTGTCCTTTTCCTTTACTACAAATTAGTGTAGACCAAATTGTATTTTTTTTGTCACTGTCATAATTTGCTTACACAGGCATCACTGTCATATAGAAACACAGCACAAGCTTTTTTGTTTAAGCAGCCGTTCACTAAAAAAAAACAAACCCAAAAACTTAAGACTGTGGTGGTCCTGCCCACCCCGTGTCTCCACGCCTGTTCAGGAAGTTTCAGTGGTGTCCCTTGTACACGTTTGTTTAAGCAGCCAGTCACAAAAAAAGAAAAGAAAAAAGCAATCTAGCTAAAGTGAATTTTTAAATAAATTATGTTTACAAGGTTAATAAGATATCTATATTGTAATAGTTATGGATGTAATTCTAGAGCCCTGAGTATGTGTGTAGCCGTTCCAATGCTTCCCACTCATCTGACGGACTGGGCCACACTTAAACTGTGGTGGTCCTGCCCACCCCGTGGCTCATCTCCTGTTCAGGAAGTTTCAGTGGTGTCCCACGTTGGGATTAGAGACATCAAACAAGGAAAGCTGCCTGTACAACAGAGTTTGTTAAAGATGTTGAAGGCTGACTGGGAGAGGATTAAGTTGAATTAAGGGAAATGTAGTACTCTGAGCTTGATTTTTCAATAGTATTATCTGGATTTTGGTCTCTGCTGCTTTGAATTGTCTAATGTGAGTGCAAAAGATAGTGTGTAAGAAATACATTGTATATTTTTGTTGTATATCCTTTTACCTGTTATAGTAACAGAACCATCAGTCACATTAAACAAATTTCCCCTCATTTCACAGCAGTGATGTTTTCATTAATCTGATTATCAGTGTAACATGAAAGGATCCATAAAACAAAACCATAACTGTCCTAATATGTTAAACCCATCACTGTTCCAATAAATATGAACATTTATTTGTAAATGTATATTTTCCAGGGTCTGCTGTTTACCTGAGAACACAGAAAGTGAATGTTCATGACGTGTCCCATCTGCCGAACATGTGAACCGTCCAGCATCTGTTTCTCTCACACTGGAGATTTCCAGATTCGTCTGTTTCACGGCTGACCTCTGCACAAGTTCAACAATGCCTAACACAGAAAATAAAAATATGTTCTAATATAATGTAATCATCA